CTGGCGGTGCGCGTAGACCCAGGTGCGGGCGGCGAGGGGGCGCTCGGGCCCGACGGCGGGGGCCGGGGGTCTCCGGCCTCGGTCACAGGGCGCTTGTCCCGGCCCGACTGCGGGCGAGGAAGGGACTGCTGTCGAGGCGCCTCTGGGCCGGGAATTGGCGCCGCTTCCCAGCTGGGAGCTCGTCTGGGAGACAGACTCGCGGCTGGCCCGCTCTGCGCCCTGGGAGCCGCGGGAGTCAGTGTTGGTGACGCGCCGCCCAGGCTGCGGGCCCGCCGTCTCCCCGGAGGAGTGTTCTCCCGTACGGGGAGGAAGGAGTGACAGCTTCTCTCCCTTCGGCCGTCCCAGCCATCCTGGAAGATGCCGGCGCCGACATCCTGATGGAGGCCCTGGGCACCCTGGGCTGTGAGTACCACGTGGAGCCCCAGTGCCCGGCCCGGAGCCTCAGGTGGTGCAGAGTGAAGCCAGACCCGTGCCCCTGCGGTGTGAGTATCCGGGGTTGCTGCCCCCAGCGGCCGCCCTGCGTTTACAGAGCGCAGCTTGGATCGGGTGTTTTCGGTCCGTGGTTTCCCACCACACAGCGGTCCTGAAAGGCGGCTGCTGTAATGGTGTGTGTTTTTCAGATCAGTAAGCTGGGAATGGGGAACACTGAATGGGTGACGCCCAAGTTGCTCTGCTGGTGCATCCCAGGGCTGGGGTCCTGAACTCAGCTGCTGCTGAGGAACATTCCATCCCCGTCAAGGCTGGTCAGTGCTCCTGCCGGCCCCGCAGACCTGGGCTGGTCTGGGCCTTGACAGGAGTCAGGACTTCTGCAGAGCAGTCCTGGTGGAGACTCAGAGCTGCTGGGGTGCCCAGGCCGAGGCCCTGGAGCACACGAGGCCGAGGGTGGGCAGCAGTGCTCCTGGGTGTCCCCACATGTGCCTCCTGAGGTGTGGGCTGCAGATGAGCAGGACCTCCTGCTGTTGCTGGAACCCAAGGAGTTTCTGCAGGGCATCGCCCAGCTGACCCAGGTGCTTGGGTGGGGACAGTAGAACATCCCCACATATTGTGAGTGGCTGGGTTCCCCGGCCTGCATGCACTGCTTTGCGAGTCCCTGCTCAAGGAGGGAGGGCTGGAGAGGGCATGCAGTGGGCTGGGGTCCTCTTTGGTCAGCAACCATCAGATGTTGTGGGTGAGATGAAAGCCAGCTGGGCTCTTGGCCTGGGAGCAGACGGGAGCTGCAGCTGCTTCAGGAGGGCAAGAGCCAGGATGAGGAAGATCCTCTGGAGAGCCGAGTCAGAAGTCAGGGGCGGTAAACTAGTGGGAGGGCCCAGGGACTAGGGCTGAGGGTTGCAGTTCACCTGTGACAGCCGACAGACAGCCCAGCTTCCGCCTGGCTGGAGGAGAAATGGGGATCCCTCAGCTGATGTTCACGCCAGAGTGTTCTTAGGTTAGATCCTCTGTCGGGTCCCAGTGTCAAAAGCTCAGCATTTGTCAAGCACCTGTTGTATGGCAGGCAAGTGCAAGGCTGGAGGGCAGAGTTGGACCAGGAATGGGGAGCTCAGTCCAGCTCTTCTAGGAGCCTGGGACCTGCCCGGCAGCTTTCGTAGGCCCCCTTGACCTTTGGGAGGCACAAAGCTGGTTTCTAAAGAGAGCTGGCTGGGCAGAGGGAGTCGGCTCCCGTCTCCTGCCAGTACCACTGGGTCCTTCTCGGTCTCGCTTCTCTTCTTTCTGCAAACTGGCAGTGGCCCGGCAGCCTGTGAGCCCCACCTGCCGCAGCCCCGAATGACAGGTGTAGTGACCCTTCTTTGCTTACAGATCTGTGGCCCAACCTACTCGGTGCCCTGGGTCTCTCCTGAGAGCCACGCTTGCCCCCACCTGGCCGTCATCGGGCTGGACACCTACCTGTGGTACCGCTCCCCTAACGCCCTTAGCAGGCCTGGCTGGGCTGGGGGAGTTCAGGGGAGAGGTGGGGGTGGCTCTGGGGGCTGCTGTGACACAGCTAGCCCCCTCCTCCGGGCTCTGGGGGAAGCAGAACTCAAGGAGGGTGGGACCAACGGGGTGTGGGGAGCTGGAGGGACAGTCACCTCTGCTTAGGTCTCGCCAGCCCAGCACCCAGGAGAAGCAGCAGCCGGAGAGTCCAGCAGTGGCCTGTGCCGAGCTGGCCGTCGGGTGGCCTGAGGTGGAGGAGGTGAGACCGGTCAGGTTGGGTGAGGAGGTTGGCCTTGGCTCTGGCGCTTGGGCTGCTCTCCGAGGCCCGGCAGGGCCAGGTTTAGTCCCAGGGCCGCACGTGGAGCTGGTCTCAGCTCGATGTCCCCCAGGGGAGCACTCCTCTGACCCACACCCACGGGCTGGCCTTCTCCTCAGGCCCTGGTGCTCCTGCAGCTCTGGGCAAACCTGGACGTGCTGCTGGTGGCCTCCTGGCAGGAGCTGAGTCAGCACGTGTGCGCCTTCACCAAGGCCCTCGCCCAGCGCCCCTACAGGTCCGTGACACCCTCGCCGCCCCAGCTGGTGGCTGCAGCTGGGAGCAGGGACAGGAGCATCTGGGGTGCCCCTCTGGCCTCTTTGAGAGCAGAGAGGCTGAGGTTTGTTGAGCTGGGGGCGGGGTGCTTGGAAGAGACACCTCCCTGCACCCTGCCCGTTTGCAGGCAGCACCGGGAGTCCCAGGCCCTCTCCTTCTGCACAGCGGGGCGCTGGGCCGCAGGCGAGCGCATAGCAAGAGATGGTACAGGGCTGCAGGGGGCCTGGCGGCAGCAAATCAGACAATTCAACCGGGTCAGCCAGGCCATGGCGGACGCTGTCGTCTCCGCCTTCCCCTCCCCTCGCCTCCTGCAGCAGGTGAGTCCCCATGCCTGGCTCCCATGATGCAGGCCAGGTCCTCGAGGCCTGCCCTGCTCATCCCCGTGCCTGTCTTAGGCGTACGCGGCTTGCAGCACAGAGCAGGAGCGCCTGGCCCTCCTGGCTGACCTCCCCGTGAAGGTGGGCGAGGGTGTGCGGCCGCGCAGGGTGGGGCCCGACCTTTCCCGCCGCATCTGCCTCTTCCTGACTACCGCTGACCCCGACCTCCTGCTGGACCTGGGCTCCTGACAATGCCTGCTGGCCAGACACAACACAGCCCACCCTGGGGACTGACCGGAAACCAGGAGGGGAGCAGGGCACCCAGCACTACCTGCTCCTGGGGGGCCTCTCCATCAGGTCTGACCCCGAGGGGGACGTGGGGGAGTAGGGAAAGTTCTTGGGCAACGGAAGAGCAGAAGAAGAAATTCTCGCCAAGAGGTGCCAAGCCAGTTGGAGGATCTGGAGACGACGGGATAGGGTTCGCATACCCTGGGCCCTGTACACATTGGCTGTGGAGCTGGTGGCCAGCTGGGATGGTCAGGAAGGGTTGGGGAGTGCCCAAAGTCCCCACTGGGGGACAAACGCCAGTCACCTGGAGCCTTGGGGGTGGCACCTTCAGAGAGAAGCAGTAAGACGAAGTCTCGAGAGAACAGAGAACCAAGCCATTTCTTCCCAAAGCTGCTGCGACACAACCAGACCCAACAGAGAAGCCAGGGACTCCTGTGAGCCCCAGGCCTCAGGACAGACTCTCTAATTCTCCCGCTGCATAGGGGTCAGACAAACCAAGTTTATTCTGGTGAACAGCAGCTGACAACATGCAAAGCAAGTTAAGAAAGACCCAAGGCTGGCAACAATGGAAGAGCTGACCTCTGGCGAGGCCTCCTCCTCCTTGGGCAGCAGCCCACAGCCTCTAGGCCCAGCCCCCCAGGCCCGCAGGCTGAGTCCACGAGAGCTGGAGTGGCTGCTGCCAGGAGAGCCTCCACCCGTCACAGGAAGCAGGTGGACTTGCACAGTCCTGGTCTCCAGGTCCTGGGCCTGTCCCAGTCTCAGGCAGCAGGGGAACAGTGGAGATAGCCCCCTCCTCCCTCTCCTGTTGCCTTGGAGCGTGGCCCAAAGGGAGGGCCCGAGAAGACTCTGCCCCCACCCCAGAGGGCAGCGTTCACTGGGAGATGAGTTAGGTCCGTCGGCAGCGCTTCCTTTGGCAGCGCAGGGTCTCGGGGCTGCTGGGGCTGGGCACGGCCTTGGGCGCGGGCACAGGGGGCTTGTGGCGGCCACAGCTCATGCTCAGGACCCACCCCAGCTTGTGTTGCAGCACCTGCTTGAGGCCAGGCGGCAGGGGCAGGCCCTCGAGCGTGTCGCCGGAGTCGGGCCGCAGCTGGCGTAGGCGGTAGCAGCACAGGTACTGCAGGGAGGTGATGCTGGCGCACGAGCGGATCACCTTCATGCTGCTCTTGGCCGCTGTCGAGCACACCATCGGGTAGAACTTCTTGTTCTGCAGCTTGGTGGCTGCCACACCTAGAGAGGGGCACATCCTGAACTCTGGGCTTGGCCCTCCTTGGACATCCTCCGAAGGTAACTGAGGACGCCACGATCCCCTTGGCCCTTGCGCTGCCCCACCCCCTGGCACCCAGGAACCCCAGGCTTCTGCGAGGACAGCCTTTCAGGAAGCCTGCAGTCACCTGACCTGGGCCCTGGTCTCCGCCGCCTGTGGGGCCTCAGCAGCTGGCACGTGTCTCCGTCCGGGCCCCAGCTGCCCTCACCTATGCACTTCCTGTTCTTAAAGAAGGTCAGCGTCCCGTGCCAGGTGTCCAGGTGCACGCCGATGATGGAGCCCTGGCCGAACCGCGAGGAGAAGCTTGTCTTGTCGCCCTTGTGGTGGAGGAGCCCTGGGGGGTGGCGGGGTCAGGGTGAGCCCTCCTGCCTCAGGGCCCGTCCTGCCCTGCCCGCCTGCCCTCAGGCCCACGCACCCGTGTAGGAGAGGCCCCAGCTGTCCTCGTCCCTGCCGAGCAGGCTGCAGAACGTGTGGTGGTACTTGTCCAGGTCCACGTCTGACGTCCCGATGCCCACCATCTGGGGACAACAGGCTGGGCAGAGGGGGCCCGGGGCCAGGGCGCCCGGCAGCTCCCCAGCCCTGCTGGCCACTTACCATGTCGGTGCCGTAGACGGGGGAGGTCATCTTGATCTCCCAGAAGTGCTGGCCCTCCCCCAGCTCCTTGGTGCCGCGGATGGCTGCTGTGCCGCAGCTGTACTCCATGTGGAAGTTGACCTTGCGGTTGTCGCAGCTCAGCAGGGTGGCTGAGGACTTATTCAGGTCGTCCCAGACCCAGTCGAAATCTGCGGGAGCCACAGGCCCAGGCTAGGGCAGTCTCCAAGCCCCCTCTGGGCCACCTCACCAGGCCCGAGAGCCCCCCACCAGCCCAGGTGGCCCGTGGGTGCTCACACTCGTCTTCCTCCCCGCAGCGGCAGTCCTTGCCCCGGTGTGCTGTGTACAGGCTGCTGCAGAAAGAGGCCTCGCTCTGACTGTCACAGTCACAGAAGGACTCCCCAGTGACAGGCACTGCGCTGGGGATGGACGATGGCAGGGACGAGTACTCAGGGTCCGAGTCGGAGTCACTGTGCTGGGAGAAAAGGGCAGGCTGTTCCCCTGCCTCGTCCTCCACCCTCCGCCCGCCCCAAGCCCACCAGAGGGCCACGGTGGATGGCTCTGATGCCCCAGGGAGGAATCTGGAGGACCGGCCTCAAAGGGCTTCCCCAGGTCCCAAGTGCACAGCCAGTCCACTTTTCCACAGTGACCCTGGACATCTCCTCCTAGTGCAGGAACTGGGGGGCCTCCTTCCCCAAGGCCTACCACACCACTGGCTTCCTGAGAGTGGGCATGAGGGCTCCACCCCGCTCTGCACAGCCCAGGGGGCCCCGGAGGCCCAGCCACTAATGAGCCACAAGGCAGGGCTGCGTGCTCAGCCAGTCATCATTCTCCAGGCAGCTTCCACATCAAGGATAAGCTGCAGCCCCACTGAGAGCAGCCTGAGGCAGGGGAGCCCTGCGGCAGAGTCCACTCGACCTAATAAAGGCAGCCAGGGGCTCCACACCCTGGCAGCACCAGCACACCTGTCCTGGGCAGTGGCCCCCTTGTCCACGCAGGGCTCTTAACCCCGTCACAGGGCCCTGCCAAGCCCAGCGGTCTCATGCTGCTGCTTCAAGCTTCTGCCATAGGAGAACATTCAGTGGCAACCCAGCCCCCTGACTAGGAGGCTCAGTCCTCACGCTGCATGATCCACACCTGGCAGCCAGATGCCCAGGCTCAGACAGGCTCTGGTGGTCACCTATAGCTGACCTGCAGCCCTTCCTGGAGAGCAGCTGGGGGAAGCGCTCTGTGCGCCTAGTCATTCCGGCTCTGAGCCACGCCGGTCCCCGCTGACGCCCACCTCGGCTCTGCACCCCAGGCCAACCTGCGAGAGTCCGGGGTTTCACAGCCCACGGCCAGCAGGTGCACACAGCCCCTGCGTGCCCACTCTGCCGGCCCTTGCAGGTTGGCCTTCAGTCCTGGTGGCACTCCAGATCCTCCCTCTCTTGGTCTCTGCGTGTTCCTCTTGCCTCCCTGAAGTGCTCTCTGCACAGCTGCCCGGGTGACCCTGCGCAGACCTGGGGCAGATCCTGCTGCCCTGACAATAAGGCTCACCCTCAACCAGACCCCTGCCCTGGCCCCCTTCCCCTCTGCCCCGCCACCTGTCATGTCCACCTGTCTCCTTGGGGGGAGAGCCCTTTGCCCCTGGGTGACAGCTTTCAGATATCACTTCAAAGAGGTTCTTCCAGCCCCTCCCTCCCGTGTGCAGCCTCTTCCTTCTCACCGCACTCCCCTGACATCCTCTGTCCTGCAGAGCTGCCTCCTCCCCCTAGAACAGATGCTCCTCAGGGGAAGGGGAAGGACCAGGACCTTGTTTCTTTCCTATTACACCCAGGGCCCACGCAGAAGCTCAATGAATCCACAGGAGAGTGTGAGCTAAGGAGGCAAGGAAATCAAGCCCCCGTCAGAGGTAGACACCAGAAAGGAGACGAAGCAGGCCCAAAGCTCCCCACCAGCATGATCCCCCAAAAGCCAAGGCGGGCTCACTGCTAGCCAGCCTGCTGGCCACAGGCAACCCCTTCACGCTGCGTCAGGAGCCAGGGCACTGACCTGAGCTCTGCAGGCCCTGGAGGTTCAGGTGGTTGGCACCCAGCACGCCAACCCCCTGGGCAGGGGGCAGACCTGCCCTCCCCCCACACAAGCCTTAAGGAGAGCATGAGGTCAGAAGGGAAGGGAGGTGTGTGTATTTATCCTGCAAAGGCATCCAGGATGACACACCCACCACCTGCCTGCCCCCACACACGACTCCAGGCCCATTAGGTGACGAGACAAGCCGCAAGCATGTGTCAGACACTGTGCCCCACATCCCACAGCGATGAGCCGGCGAGGCAGGGGCACACTGCTCTCAGCCACGTGGTCAGTGGGAGCTGGAGGCAGGCTAGGAATGCTGGCCTGAGCAGGGGATTCGGGAAGCCCCAGGAAGGGGCCCAAGATGCTGCGAATCCAGAGCTGTAGCCTCCAATTCTCCCCCAAAGCCTGGCAGTTCCACAGGGCTCAGCTTGCCCTCACTCTAGGGAGGAGAGGTACCCACCCCACCCAGGACACCCGGCTGAGCCAGGGCAACAATGCAGGGTGCCTGTGTGACAGAGGAGAGCCAAGTCACCTGGGGATCGTCCCTGCAGGAAGCTACGGGGTGACTCAGGGCAGAGCCAACCCCCTGCTCCGATCTAAAAGATTCCAGAAGCCAACTGAGAAGCCACCCCCCACAGCAGGCACAAAGGCCTCGCTCCATCCTGCCACAGCAGGGGTCGGGCTCTGGCTCAAAGCCCTCGGTACATCAGGCAGCCGGCAGGAGACCAACAGCTGAGCTGCTCTGCCCACGGACTCCGTGTCCTGGGCCTCCCCAAGCTCCGGAGTCAGGGAAAGGCACAGGCATCTGGGGCTTTAAGAATCAAGGTTCTTTTTTTTTACACGTGTATACACAAACACAGAGCACCTATTTATAAGGGAGAAGAAATGTGCAGAATGATGCACGATGGGTCAACGACAACCTTTGGAAACTGTTTGGGTAAACGGAACAGAGAAATTTTTGTTGAACGAACTGACAATAGACCCAACTGCCACCCTCTTCAGAGGAAAGAACAGAGAGAGGAACATGACATGTGTCCTGAGGCCCTGTCACCCCAGGGCACGCAGGTCCTTAACCACAGTAAAGAGCCTGGGGGCAGACCAGAGCGCACATGGGACAGCAGGCTTAGGGCTGGCCCTATCCTCTGCTCTCAGGAGCATCTTTCTCCTCTAGTTCCAGTTCAGGCAATGCCTGCCTCAGGCGTCCCCACACCTTAGTCCAGCCACGTCCACCTCACTCACTGGGACCTACCTGCCCATCAGAGTCGTAGCCCCAGTTAGCCGTCCCTGCCAGAGCCATGGCCCGGGCATCCACATCTCGGCGCGCTGCACTCAAGACAAAATGCCAGGCTCTGCTGCTCCGGGGACGCCTGGCCATGGTGGACAGAATCTGGAAGAAAAACAGGGTCTGAGCAAGGAGGACTTGCAACACTGCACTCTGCCCTAGGCCGGCTGTGCCAGACCCACCCAAAGGTGGGGGCCAACAGGACTCCGGAACTCTCTTTACAAACTTGTACCTCACTCCAGCGTCCAAGCACCTGGATGAGACCTAGGTAGAGCATGTGGAGCGCCATCCAGACACCCATGACTCGAGGGCGTGTCTCAGTCCCTCTCCCAGCTCAGTCTCCTGAACCCAGCTGTCCCCCTGCATGTCCCACAGGCATCTCAAACCGGTCTGGCTCCTCCTCCATTGTCCAGTTTGACAAATGGTATCTCCAGCCTCCCAGTTCCTCATGCCAGACACAGGGCATTTATCCCCGTCACCTTCCTCCTTCCCACAGTGGCCTGACGGCCCCCCACACCCCACCACGCCACCTGCAAAACATGTCCTGAATCCCTCTCTCCATCCGCACCGCCACCACCCGGTCCCACCCCACACACCTCTCTTCGCTCCAGCTCCTCCCACTGTACTCACTACAGCCACGCTGACTTTTTGAAACACAAATCTTAAAAACAAATCTTAAAACTTCTCAGGGCTTGCCATCGTTCTTAGGATAAAATGCAATATCCTACAAAGCCTCTCGTGTTCTCCCGCACCTCTCTCAGCCGCGCTGGCCTCGTTCCAGCTGTAGCTCTTTCCTGCCCTTTGCCCGGAAAAGCCTTCCCCTCCCCTCTCTGGCTCTTAGTTTTCACATCCGACTTACAGTAACATGCGGATTCCTGTGATTACGTCCTGCCTGGCTCTCCCCGGGACTGCCCTCCCAGGAGGGCAGCGACTCCCCCAGTGAGGGCCCGCCCGGCACACGGCCAGCGCGTGTCAGTGGGTGAGCGCAGGCAGTTTTCGAGGGACGGGAGCGCGCGTCTGCGGAACCAGCTCTCCTCCCTCCACAGTGCGGACACAGCTCCCTTACCCGCCCAGCCTCCGAGCCATGGCCGGAGCCGGTTACGGCCGGCGCATCTGCAGGCGGTGCGCGCTGAAACAACGGCCCCGGAGACTGTCCCCCGCCCCGGAGACGGGCAGCGCCCCCAGCCCTCATAGCAGCAGGGCACTTCCGAAACGGGCCTCTTACTAATTCCAGTTTCGGGCGATGCTGCGGGAGTTCCTCTGGGCGCGGCACGGTGTGCCTACCGCTGCGGGGCCGCCGACGACCACCGCCCGCTCGGCCTGCCTCGCCCGGGCCCTCCTGGCGCCGCCGCACGCAGGCACAAAGGCGCGGCC